TAAATTAATGTGGATGTCACACGTCATATAGTGTGAACCGTCTGTGAAGTAAATATTCTCAATTTTTGGGTAAACTATTTTTTCATTTATTTTGATTTTCAAATTTTTTGTTTGATTAACTATAAAATTAAGGAAATAATTTTTTTTATTGAATCTCAATTTAATTTTTTTTCTTTTTGTGTGTGTGTTTTCCTTGTAATGGCAATATCTGAGTTAGATTTTTGAAGTCGACGTACCTCGACCTATACCTACTATCTCCTAACTTATACTCTACATAGGAGTAGGGTGTTCATGGTTCGGTTTAGATCTGTTATTGGTTAAAACCAAAATCAAATTAATTTAGTCGATTTTTAAATCTCTTAAATGAAACCTAACTAAACCAAAAAAATAACCATCGGTTTGGTTCAAATTTTTTTATTTTTTAGATTTGAAAGTAATAAGGGGTCGTTTGGTAGAGTGTATTGGAGAAAATAATGTCTACATTAGTTTGATGTATAATTGGTACCTTGTTATACCTAGTCAAACCAAATTAAATATCAGATATTTTAATCAATTTGATTCGAATTGCAGATTGATTTATTTTTTTAACCATAGCCATGAACAGCCCTACATAGGAGGGCAGGGCTAGACTTTGATTCCTCAAAGGGCTTTCTTCTCTATTTAACCTTTTTTGCTTTACCCTTTTTGTGTCTATGCATTTATAGTGTAGTTGTGTAAGTTTTTCTTTTAAAGGCGTTTTTGTTTTGTAGTGAATTTATGAATTTGAATAATTGTCCATAAAAGCTTAAGCTAGGGGTGGAGTCAAGTAGGCCTTAAGGGATTCATCTGAACCTCCTTCAGTTGTTACTTACCCTCCAACATGACTCGAACCTTCAACCTACTAGTTAATGGTGGAGATGCTCAAGCCTCAACCTATTCCTAAGGTTTATAACCTCCAAAATAAGACACAAAACAAGAAAAAATATTCTCTTTAATATCGAAAGCATGTAAAATGTAACCGCCTAATAGTAGGATGATTGAGGTCTCTCCATTAATTAAAGTTTTTGGAATGCTATTGTTATTTACTTATTTTACATGTCTATCTATCTCCAACAATTAATCACCTCTAGTAGTGCAACACCAAGGCAACAGCATACTAAATGACATTATAAAATATTTCTTTAACGAACTAATAAGCCAATGAAATGCCCCATGGACAAATACCAAACAGTCAGTAGATGTGAGCCTAGGTTGAACGTCAATAGGATGTTTATCCATTATTCTCCAGGAACCACTTTTCAATGCGAGAATTTCACTGCATGATTTGTTATCAATCATAAGGATGTTATAGTCATCACTAGTTGAGTCATATCCCAATCCCCAAGTACAATAGTCCCTTGGAAAAATTTCCGGACGGGATAGGACTATTGATTCTCTTGTGGTGGGGTTTCATAGCAAAAGTAGGAAGTCTACTTTATACTTATAAAACCCTATAAGGGCCAAACCATGGAAACAACAATATAATTTACTGTTAGAAGGACAATCAAGTTTGTGTAGTTGCTCAACCTGTTGAACTGACGACAAAGAAGAACAATGCAAGGAAAAATTCTCATTGGTTAACAAGGATTTTTTGGGAATTTTCATCATTCCCATGATTGAGATGCTTTATCTGAAAGTAAGGCTCAGAAATCAATGTCATCCAAAATTTTGAAACACATTTAAATCGTAGAAGTGACCGCATAGGTAGCCTACTGAGAATGTCCGTAGCCACATCAACATCCATCTTTTACCTCTGAAATTAAAAATTGAAGAAAGAAGTGGATACCTCTTTTGTATCCTCTTAGCAGCTTTCAATTTTTCTCTAGGGTTATTTGACTTTAGGTTTTTGTTAACCTACTAGCAACCACGAAAAGTGAAAAAAAAAAGACATAATATAAAAGATAAAAATAATAAATTAATATGGACGTCACACTTCATATAATGTGAACTGTGAAGTAAGTATTCTCAATTTTTTGGTAAACTATTTTTTGTTTTATTTTGATTTTGATTTTTTTTTGTTTTTAAATATAAAATTAAGCAAGGAAATAGCGTATCATATCAAAAGTAGAAAAATATGTAGCAAATTTTTCTAAAGGTAAATCTTTTTCTCATATCGTTTAAATATTCAAAACAATTCGATATTTACAAGCAAAAGAATACTACTAAAATGAAACACAAATGAGGATGTAACAAGATTACCTTGAAAAGAAAAATAACTCGATCATACATAGGCAAATACTCCTAACTAATTAATTTTGGGAACATCAAGCTTTCTGTATAAACGAATCCTTTCAGAATGACATTAGATTGAGGCCATACTCCAACCGGTCCTTTGGATGTCCTGAATACATAAGTACAGCGATGTAAATGTCCGCAACACAGTAGCACTTCTCCATCCGAAAACATATATTTTGGTATGGCTGATTGAAGATCGGTACCTTGTCTACTAAACAATTCAGTCCAAGATTCGTTGACAAAGTCTTTCATTACCCAAAATTTAAAAATGTTCTCCGTATTAGACACATAATGAGAATAAGCACAGAGCATTCCTCCCAATACTGAAACACCCCTTCCAAACAACCTGGAGAAATTCGAGTACAGTTGCTCTGGCAATGGTATCTCTCTGTACACCTCGTCTGAAATACTAAATGACATCACAGAATATTTCGTTAACGAACTAATAAGCCAATGAAATGCCCCATGGACAAATACCAAAGAGTCGGTAGACACATAAGCATAGGGTGAACGTCAGTAGGATGTTTATCCATTAATCTCCAGGAACCACTTTTCAATGCGAGAATTTCACTACGTGATTTGTTATCAATCTTAAGGATCTTATAATCGTCACTAGTCGAGTCATATCCTAATCCCCAGGTACAATAGTCATTTGGAAAAAAATTCGGATAGGAAAGTACTATTGATTCTCTCGTGGAGGGGTTCCGGAGCAAAAGTTGCAAGTGTTTATTAGGCTAACTATAAATCTCCATAAGAACCAAGCCATCGCCACAACAATATAATGTGGGATAAATCTCCAAAAGTTGCAAGTGTTTATCAGGACAATCAAGTTTTTGTACTTGCTCAACCTTGTCAATATGATAGTACCATTGGTTAACAAGAATTTTTTGGGAATTATCGACATTATATTCTTTGCATGATTGAGATGCTTTATCTTAAAGTAAGGCTCGGAAATCAATGTCATCCATAACTTTGAAACACATTTGAATAGTAGAAGTGATTGCACAGATAGCCTGCTGAACATTTCCTTAGCCACATCAACATCCATCTTCTTTGTGTTCTTTAATTTGAATGTTTCGCAACTCTTTTCTTCAAAAATTAAAAATTGAAGATTTAACCTAAACAATTTGTCAACTTAAACTAAAAATAGACATTGTACAATATATATAATCCATCAAAGGTAATCGGCAAAATAGTCGAAATAGTAAAAGGTAATACAAAATAGTATTAGAAATAACCCTAGGAAATAAATTCCTTATTTGAACCCCCTCCGTGGACTTTGATGTTTATTATACTGATTCCGAAAATATATGGTAAGAAAAAAATTTAACTAGTCCTAAAATATATGGTAAGAGGTATTAATAGAATTAATGTAGATTTCTAAAATATATGGAAAAAAGAATTAGAAAAACACTCCTAAAATAAAATATATGGGAACTAATGTTTATTTTATTTCACTCTTAAAATAAGGATACTAATTAATCTTGGATCCTAACGTGCATTAGTAGGATCCAAGTTATTCATTCTTGAAATTAAAAGTGAATAAAATATTTAAAGACTCCAAGTTAAAATCTACCTTGCCATATTTAAATTCATCTTTAAAAAAATTTAAGTTCTAAATATTAGAATAATAATTATTTCAGAAAAAATCTAGAATTAAAATGGTGGTGTTGTGCCCGGCAAGATAGTAGTGCAATGCCAAGGCAACATTTGAAGGTCCCAATAGCAAGCTACCGTGGTGGACCTCCACTTCAAAAAAATTTAGTTAATATCGTGTGGACCAATGGACCATATATTAGATATTAAACTGATAAAAATAGATACTATACTTGATCTTAGCGAAAAAGGCCTAGAAAGGTATGCCTTTCTTTTGTATGCAATTTCTTACACAAAATCTCTCTTTACATTTTCAATTATTGTTATCAAATAGTTTATATATGGCACTTTACTACCACACTTCTTATATCGATCGAGGTTCAACATCATGACAACAAAAATATTTTGTAGATTCATAGAATTTGTTACAAAAGAACCTTATCACATATCAAATGAAATTATCTAAATTTAGGACTATAATTGGTGGGGTGTGCCAGGCCAAGGCAGTAGTGCAACACCAAGACGACACTTGAAGGTCTCGATAGCAAGCTACTGTGGTGAACCTCCCCCTTCAGAAAATAGATTTAATATCGTGTGGGTCAATTACCCACATATCAGATATTAAAATGATAAGAACATATACTACACTTGATCTTAGCCACAAAAGGCAGAGAAAGGTATGCTTTACTAAGTTTTCTGGTCAGTATAAAACTTGAAGAGAGCTCTGCATTTCTCTATGAAGGAGAGTGAAAAATGCTTAAAATATGTTTCTGGTATAATAATTTATGTACTTCGTGTTCCTTTAAGTAAAAGTTCTTTCAACTCTTTCCGATTTCCAAATCAACAGATTTTCCTTACAACTATTCGAATAACAGAAACAATAATGTCAAGCAAACGCAATCATCTAGTCGATCTTAATATTACATGGTTGCGGTTCTGTTTTATACTCTGTTCCTCTCTGTTTTTGGTTATGCTATCCATCTTCCGAACTCAGCGTTTACTGTTTTTGTTGTGTTGTTTGAGTACATAGCATGAGTCTGGTTTAATATTTACAAGCAAAAGAATACTACTAAGAGAGTTCCGAGTTCAATTCATGATATGAAAACACAAAAGAGGTTGTAACTTGAAAAATAAAGTGACATAAGCAAATACTAACTAATTAATTTCGGGAAGATCAAACTTTCTGTGTAAACAAATCCATTCTGAACGACATCAGATTGAGGCCATAATCCAAACGGTCCTTTGGATGTCCTAAAGACATAAGAAATACGATGCAAATCTTCACAACACAGTAGCACTTCTCCATCCGAAAACATATATATCGGTATGGCTGATTGAATATTGGTAGCTAGTATAATAAACGAATTAGTCCAAGATTCGTTGACATAGTCTTTCATTACCCAAATTTTAAAAATGACATCTGTACCAGAATAAACACATAACATTCCTCCCAATTCTGAAACGCCCCGTCCCAACAAGCAATTTGAGTAGAGTTGTTCTGGGAAAGGTATCTCTCTGTACACGTCGTCTGTAATACTAAATGACATCACATAATATTTCGTCAACGATCTAATGAGCCAATGAAATGCCCCATGGACACATACCAAAGAGCCGGTAGATTTAAGCATAGGGTGAGCGTCAATAGGATGCTTATCAAGTAATCTCCAGGAACCACTTTTCAGAGCGAGAATTTCACTGCATGATTTGTCATCAATCTTAAGGATCTTATAGTCATCACTAGCCGAGTCATATCCCAATTCCCAGGTACAATAGTCCTTTGGAAGAATTTTCGGATCGGGAAGTACTATTAATTCTCTCGTGGAAGGGTTCCATAGCAAAAGTTGGAAGTGTTTATCGGGATAATTACAAAACCCCATAAGCGCCATGCCATTGCAACAACAATATAATGAGTAACGCCATGGTTTATCATTACAAGGAAAATCAAGTTTTTGTACGCGCTCAATCTGTTGAACTGACGATAAAGAAGAACAATACAAGGAAAATTCATCATATCTTGGGTTTAATATGTGAACAAGAATTTTTTGGGAATTACCATCATTCCTGGCATGATTGAGATGCTTCTTCGAAAAGTAAGGGTCGGAAATCAATGTCATCCATAACTTTGAAACACATTTGAATCGTAAAAGTGACCGCACAGGTAGCCCGCTCATGATTTCCGTAGCCACATCAACATCCATCTTTTTTGTTTTCTTTAATTTGAATGTTTTGCAACTCTTTTCCCCTAAAATTAAAAATTGAATATATAATACAAAATATTAGAAAGAACCCTACCAAATAAATTCCGTATTTGAACCCCTCCGTGGGCTTGTAATATCATAAAAAAATCTTTCCGTGAAGTTTTAAGTTTCTTTTATTTTCTCAAATTATTATTTAATTATATTTATTATATTGATTCCTAAACTATATAGAAAGAAAAAAAATTAATGAGTCCTGAAGTATATGGTAAGAAGTATTAGTAGAATTAGAATTAATGTAGACTTCTAAAATATATGGAAAGAAGAATTAGAAGAAAAAAAAACTCCTAATTAAAATAAAATATAAGGGAAGGGGAAGAGGGGAACTAATGTTTGGGTGAATATAATTTTATTTTATTTTACTCTTAAAATAAGAATACTAATTAATCTTGGGTCCTAACGTGCATTAGTAGGGGGGAAATACTATTTTCTTCATGTATTTAGTTTTTCGTATTTTGAATTGTCTTAGTAAAAACACAAATATCTCATTTGTACGTGTGGGAAATAGAGCGAAAATTGATATTGAAGGCTCATGTAACCCCAATTAATTTGAGAATGAGATATATAGTTTTTTTTATTTTTTATCAAAAGGATGTAATAATATTATTGCAATAGAGGTTAGTTTGTAGCATTGAGGGGTGCACGTTAATAATTGCCTGGGCCACATCCCGGCATTGAGATAAATTGTTTTCAACGATAATTGTTCTAGAAAAAGTAGTTCCTAGAATGTCTGCTTGTAATGCTTGTTGGTCACACACTGGGGAACTTGCAAAATAGTTGGGGCGTCAACTGGACAAGAGCAAAATGCCTTCTATAAGGATCAAATACGATAAGACACTTTGGCTGCACCAACAAGTTGGTAAAGAAAGTTAATATCAAGCAAACGCAATCATCTAGTCGATCTTAACATTAGATGGTTGCATTTCTGCTTCATACTCTGTTCCTCTCTGTTTTTTCGGTTATGCTATCCATCTTCTAAACTCAGCGTTTGCTTGGTCTTAACTGACTTTTTTCTTTCTTCGTTTACTATTTGTATTATGTTGTTCAAGTACATAAGATGAGTCTCATTCGATAATTACATTAAAAGAATACTAACACAAATGAGGTTGTAACAATATTATTACTTTAAAAAGAAAAGTGACTTGATCATACATAGGCAAATACTCCTAACTAATTAAATTTGGAAAGATCAAACTTTATGTGTAAACGAATCCTTTCAGAATGACTTCTTCATCTTATCAATAAGTTTTTTAGCTCCGATGAAAATCGACAAAATTTATAGGTGTCAAATTGACGTCAATAATAAGATGTTGGTGTTGGGTTTTGTGGATTACTAAAGAGATGATGAAACTGAAGTAGTTGATAGAGTTGAAGATGAAGATAGAGGAAAAAAGGATGCTTCAATGGGGAAGAAGCTTATTGGGGAAGACAATAAAATGAAGAGAAAAAAATTAAAAGTTTTATGGGCCAATAGGAAAATTCATATAGTTTAATAAAAGTTAATAAATTAAGAAAATAATATTTAAAATATAACTATATATTGACCTATAAAAAAATGACATGTGTATGATTTTATATTTTTTTTCCCTTTTTAACTCCTTCACACGCTATTAGGTAAGTGAACTCATTCTCTTTGTCACGTCATCCCTTAGGGTTGCATTTAATTCACTTCAAAAATTGTTAAGGGGGGTATTTAAACGCCCGTGTAGTTTAAGTGCTAAAGTAAGTTATCCGATCAAGTTCTGGGTTTTTTTTATGTGTTTTCTCTATTATTATGAAATAGTTTAGATGTGGGACTTTGCTATAACTAAGGAAAATGTTATTCTTAAATCATCAGCAGTGGTAGAATAGAACCCTCCCACGGTACAGACCTGTGTTCGATTCCCGGCTGGTGCATTATCTGAGTACAATTAGTTAGACAAATGTTTACAGTACATCTTACTGGAAAAAAAAAAGGTGACAAAAGCTAGGTTAAAACATTTGTCTAACTCTCAAGAAAACAGCTAATATTAGTTCACATCTGTTTTAATTAAAATGGGCAACTTGGAATGGCATTATGGATCAAACTGCCCTATTTATTAGAAGGGACAAATTGTGTTCTATTAAGAAACAAAAAGTTTTTAGAACTAGAATTGGTGGGGTGAGCCAGGCCAAGGGAGTAGTGCAACACCAAGGCGACTCTTGAAGGTCCCAATAGCAAGCTACCGTGATGGACCTTCCACCTTAAAAAATAGAGTTAATATCGTGTGAGTCAATGACTCACATATCAGATATTAAACTGATAAGAACAGATACTACACTTGATCTTAGCCAAAAGGCCGAGAAAGGTATGATATTTCATGTGTTATGCCGCGCTATTTTATATGTCACATGTTAAATTAAATATCTCTTTCTAGGCAGTGTGGTACTTGAAGAACTTATTATACATTTCTCTCCAAAAACAAATGCTAAAAATATGTTTCTTTTTAAGATGTGCATTGAAACAATTAGAAGTGTCTGGGATAAAAGTGTGTGACTGGCCAATTAGAAGGACTCTAAGAAGTTCATCTATCAAAATTAAGGCCATTGAAACTAAGTTTTCGAGATTTTTTGATTCGTCGAAGGATTTTCTTCATTTATTGAACATTTCCTCCATTTGAGCTTTTTGCTTGATCAAAATTAGTTTGACAATTCTGGCATCTATGCCTTCATTTTTTTTATCCGTCATTCTTTCCTGTTATAAATGTTGTGTAATGTTAGTTGTTCATTAAAAAATGAAGCTCTTTATGAGACCTTTTAAATTTAAATCACACATATGACCAACTCTTCGTGTGTCTCGATAATACAAACAAAGAAAAGAAGAAACAAAGATCAAAAAAGACATAGGGGAAACTAGATTAAGAATATCTTAGGATTTTGTAAATGTAACTTCTTGATTTCATTTTCCTTCATTGATAAGCATTATATAGAAAGAATACATAAGGTATCAAGAATTAATCAATAAAATTTGAATTACTTTTAACAACATTAGCCAAAAGGCTGAGAAAGGTATGCTTTTCGATGTGTTATGCCACGCTAATTTATGTCATTTTGATACATAAAATCTGTCTTTCCGGTCAGTGTGGACTAGAAGAGCTTCTGTACTATTTAAGATTGTGATGATATCAGTTTACTTCCATTTTTTCCTAAAAAAATATTAATTAAATCTTGATTGATGAAACTTATGATTAAGGGAACAAGTATCATTTGTCTGATGGATCTCACGAAATCATGAATTGAAAAACCTACATGAGGACCCATTTGGTAGAAGGTGATGAAGAGTTGTTGGACTCAGCCTCTTCTGTTGATGCTGGTGAAAAGGATTCAACTACTAAATCGACTTTCACAAATTTCAATGAATCACCTTACTGGAAGTTTAGATATATTGGAGATATAATTAGAAGCCTAGATTTGGTAACAGAAAGATTTATGTTGAGTGAGATTCACAGTATTATTGTTCTTGATCTCTTTGACCAGTTGGAGAATCAGAAGGCTCGAACTAATTAAAATGCAGAAGAGCAGCTGAAGATTAGGAGAAGAGTATTGTTTAATTTGGTAGTTGAATGTCTGGAATTCAGTTGATTGTAAATAGAGTTTTGGCAGAGGTTTTAAAGCTTGGGCAAAGTGGACAACCACTTCTTCCTTTTGATCGGCGTTGTTCATTTTGCCCAAGCTTCAAAACCTCTGTCAAAACTCTATTTACATCTAAATTCCAGACATTCAACCACCTATTCAAACAACACTCTTCTTCTAATCTTCACCTGCTCTTTTGTATTTTTATTATTCAAGCCTTCTGATTCTCCAAGTGGTAAAAGAGATCAAGAGCAATAATACTCCGAGTTTATTTTATTTTACTCGTAAAATAAGGATACTAATTAATCTTGGGTCCTAACGTGCATTAGTAGGGGGGAAATACTATCTTCTTCATGTATTTAGTTTTTCGTATTTTGAATTGTCTTAGTAAAAACACAAATATCTCATTTGTACGTGTGGGAAATAGAGCGAAAATTGATATTGAAGGTTCATGTAGCCCCAATTAATTTGAGAATGAGATATATAGTTTTTTTTTTTGTCAAAAGGATGTAATAATATTATTGCAATAGAGGTTAGTTTGTAGCGTTGAGGGGTGCACATTAATAATTGTCTGGGCCACATCCAGGCATTGAGATAAATTGTTTTCAACGATAATTGTTCTAGAAAAAGTAGTTCCTAGAATGTCTGCTTGTAATGCTTGTTGGTCACACACTGGGGAACTTGCAAAATAGTTGGGGCGTCAACTGGACAAGAGCAAAATGCCTTCTATAAGGATCAAATACGATAAGACACTTTGGCTGCACCAACAAGTTGGTAAAGAAAGTTAATATCAAGCAAACGCAATCCTCTAGTCAATCTTAACATTAGATGGGTTGCATTTCTGCTCATACTCTATTCCTCTCTGTTTTTTCGGTTATGCTATCCATCTTCTGAACTCAGCGTTCGCTTGGTCTTAACTGACTTTTTTCTTTCTTCGTTTACTATTTGTATTATGTTGTTCGAGTACATAAGATGAGTCTCATTCGATATTTACGAGCAAAAGATTACTAACACAAATGAGGTTGTAACAATATTATTACCTTAAAAAGAAAAGTGACTTGATCATACATAGGCAAAAACTCCTAACTAATTAAATTTGGAAAGATCAAACTTTCTATGTAAACGAATCTTTTCAGAATGACTTCTTCATCTTATCAATAAGTTTTTTAGCTCCGATGAAAATCGACAAAATTTATAGGTGTCAAATTGACGTCAATAATAAGATGTTGGTGTTGGATTTTGTGGATTACTAAAGAGATGGTGAAACTGAAGTAGTTGATAGAGTTGAAGATGAAGATGGAGGAAAAAAGGATGCTTCAATGGGGAAGAAGCTTATTGGGGAAGACAATAAA